TTACTGAGGAATGTGTAGGTAGTGAGGAGCAGTGTGTAGCATTACTGAGGAATGTGTAGGTAGTGAGGAGCAGTATGTAGCATTACTGAGGAATGTGTAGGTAGTGAGGAGCAGTGTGTAGCATTACTGAGGAATGTGTAGGTAGTGAGGAGCAGTGTGTAGCATTACTGAGGAATGTGTAGGTAGTGAGGAGCAGTGTGTAGCATTACTGAGGAATGTGTAGGTAGTGAGGAGCAGTGTGTAGCATTACTGAGGAATGTGTAGGTAGTGAGGAGCAGTTTACCTGGAGTTTACCTGGAGAGAGTTCCAGGGGTCAACGCCCCCGCGGCCCGGTCTGAGACCAGGCCTCCTGGTGGATCAGAGCCTGATCAACCAGGCTGTTGCTGCTGGCTGCACGCAAACCAACGTACGAGCCACAGCCCGGCTGATCCGGAACTGACTTTAGGTGCTTGTCCAGTGCCAGCTTGAAGACTGCCAGGGGTCTGTTGGTAATCCCCCTTATGTGTGCTGGGAGGCAGTTGAACAGTCTCGGGCCCCTGACACTTATTGTATGGTCTCTTAACGTGCTAGTGACACCCCTGCTTTTCATTGGGGGGATGGTGCATCGTCTGCCAAGTCTTTTGCTTTCGTAGTGAGTGATTTTCGTGTGCAAGTTCGGTACTAGTCCCTCTAGGATTTTCCAGGTGTATATAATCATGTATCTTTCCCTCCTGCATTCCGGGGAATACAGGTTTAGGAACCTCAAGCGCTCCAATAATTGAGGTTGTTTTATCTCCGTTATGCGCGCCGTGAAGTTCTCTGTACATTTTCTAGGTCGGCCAATTTCACCTGCCTTGAAAGGTGCTGTTAGTGTGCAGCAATATTCCAGCCTAGATAGAACAAGTGACCTGAAGAGTGTCATCATGGGCTTGGCCTCCCTAGTTTTGAAGGTTCTCATTATCCATCCTGTCATTTTTCTAGCAGATGCGATGATACAATGTTTTGGTCCTTGAAGGTGAGATCCTCCGACATGATCACTCCCAGGTCTTTGACGTTGGTGTTTCGCTCTATTTTGTGGCCAGAATTTGTTTTGTACTCTGATGAAGATTTAATTTCCTCATGTTTACCATATCTGAGTAATTGAAATTTCTCATCGTTGAACTTCATATTGTTTTCTGCAGCCCACTGAAAGATTTGGTTGATGTCTGCCTGGAGCTTTGCAGTGTCTGCAATGGAAGACACTGTCATGCAGATTCGGGTGTCATCTGCAAAGGAAGACACGGTGTGTAGCATTACTGAGGAATGTGTAGGTAGTGAGGAGCAGTGTGTAGCATTACTGAGGAATGTGTAGGTAGTGAGGAGCAGTGTGTAGCATTACTGAGGAATGTGTAGGTAGTGAGGAGCAGTGTGTAGCATTACTGAGGAATGTGTAGGTAGTGAGGAGCAGTGTGTTTGCACTACTGAGGAATGTGTAGGTAGTGAGGAGCAGTGTGTAGCACTACTGAGGAATGTGTAGGTAGTGAGGAGCAGTGTGGAACATTATGTATTGTGTGTGTTGGGATTTAATACTAATGATGATTGTTCTTGATTCGCCGGTATTCTACCGGCCCGTTTCTTTTTCAGATGGTAACCCGGACTTGGCTCCCTCTCTTGGGAGTGTCTTGAGACCTGTGTCTCCCATGGGAGGGGGTACAAGTACCGCCTCATCTTCAGGGACCAACTGTCTCCAGGCCTAGCCCCATTCCCCGCCCTCATGGGACTCGTAGGGAGAAGCTAGGCCTTTGGTCTGCCATCTTCCCTGCCCTAGGGGGGGCTGGTGGGAATGGCAGTCTTGTGACCTGCAGGTGGTAGCAAGCTCTGGCTCTGGCACCTTCCCCGCCCTAAGAGGGCTCGTGGGAGTGGTGTCGGCTATGATGATAGTGATAATTATATTGGTTTTAAACAATTAACTTAAAAAAAATATTAACTATTTAAACTACATAAAAGTAAATTAAATCCATAGGAAAAATTGAAATGTCAGTGACCCTCAATAAATTATTAAATTTTATATAAAAATACTGAAATAATATTAATTTTGGATACACTGTTTTGGGTGAGAAGAAAAGAAATCCAGAATAAGAGAAGAGTTAGAACAAATTAAGTAGAGAAAGACTATTGTAAAAACTACTGGACCTTGCCACACTCGTCCTTCTAATTAAATCTAATATTTCTCTTCTCACTCATATTTCTGTTGGCTTTGATAGTGTTAGTGTTGGGACTGGGACTAACTGTGTGGACAGTGGTACTGGTGGTGGTACTATTGATGACAGGGCAACTGTGATGGTCAGAACATTTGGAAGTATACGTCGATTATTAATATATTTCTTAGGACATGCTAAAATTTGTTGAGGGTAATCAGGTTTGACCATAAACAGGCGAATTGCTGCAGTTATGTATACCATAGTGTCCTTCACCAGCATCAAGCCACACCCTCCTTCCTGGACAAGACAGTTATCTATTCTGCCTGGACTCAATAATTTACTTACTGCACCCGCCACACAACTGCATGATACAATGAAGGAGACACAATATGTCAGTGTCACCTCACTTGGCAACTGATAAATGTTCGCCTCTACAATAATACGAAGTATTCGTGTGTGTGTGTGTGTGTGTGTGTGTGTGTGTGTGTGTGTGTGTGTGTGTGTGTGTGTGTGTACTCACCTAGTTGTGGTTGCAGGGGTCGAGTTACAGCTGACCCCGCCTCTTCACTGGTTGCTACTAGGTCACTCTTCCTGCTCCATGAGCTTTATCATACCTCTTCTTAATTCTATGTATGGATCCTGCCTCCACTACATCACTTCCCAGACTATTCCACTTCCTGACAACTCTGTGACTGAAGAAATACTTCCTAACATCCCTATGATTCATCGGAGTCTTCAACTTCCAACTGTAACCCCTTGTTGCTGTGTCCCATCTTTGGAACATCCTCTCTGTCCACCTTGTCGATTCCTCTCAGTATTTTATGTGTCGTTATCATATCCTCCCTATCTCTCTCTCTCGTGTGTGTGTGTGTGTGTGTGTGTGTGGTGTGTGTGTGTGTGTGTGTGTGTGTGTGTGTGTGCTCTTCGTCCACCTGATATTTGTAGAACGCTGGTTATGAAACTAGGAAGACAGGTTTCTCTTGCCGGACTAGCGTGTAGGAGTCGGTCAGCTCTTCTACTAGGAATTTTGCTTCACCACACTCCTCTCACAGCACCACTCTATCTATAAGAACACCACTATCTATTTAATAACACTACCATCTCTCGAACAGCACCACTATCGAACAACACCACTGTCTCTCACAGCACCATCATCTCTCCCTCATAGCAATACTACCACTACCTCGTAACATCACACAACACTACCACCAGCACACACCACCACCACCTCGCAGCAATACCACCATACCACCACCACCACCTCATAGCACCACACACCACACCACCTCATAGCAACACCACCACACACCACCACCACCTCATAGCAACACCATCACACACCACCACCACCTCATAGCAACACCACCACACAGCGCCACCACCACACAGCGCCACCACACAGCGCCACCACCACACAGCGCCACCACCACACAGCGCCACCACCACCACAGCACCACCACCACCACAGCACCACCACCATCACGATCTCACAGCACCACCATTGCGTGAGGTCGTTCCTAGTGTCGTGACAAGAGTAGCTACCTCGACCTCATCTCTCTGGGATTATGACTTTCAGCCCCACCTGCCCTTCTTTTCCATGTTCTATAATCTACATGGCCTTCCTTACCCTGCCCTGCCCTCCTGTCCTACCTTCCTTACCCTGCCCTGCCCTCCTGTCCTACCTTCCTTACCCTGCCCTGCCCTCCTGTCCTACCTTCCTTACCCTGCCCTGCCCTCCTGTCCTACCTTCCTTACCCTGCCCTGCCCTCCTGTCCTACCTTCCTTACCCTGCCCTGCCCTCCTGTCCTACCTTCCTTACCCTGCCCTGCCCTCCTGTCCTACCTTCCTTACCCTGCCCTGCCCTCCTGTCCTACCTTCCTTACCCTGCCCTGCCCTCCTGTCCTACCTTCCTTACCCTGCCCTGCCCTACTGTCCTACCTTCCTTACCCTGCCCTGCCCTCCTGTCCTACCTTCCTTACCATGCCCTGCCCTCCTGTCCTGCCTTCCTTACCCTGCCCTGCCCTCCTGTCCTACCTTTCTTACCCTGCCCTGCCCTCCTGTCCTACCTTCCTTACCCTGCCCTGCCCTCCTGTCCTACCTTTCTTACCCTGCCCTGCCCTCCTGTCCTACCTTCCTTACCCTGCCCTGCCCTCCTGTCCTACCTTCCTTACCCTGCCCTGCCGTCCTGCCCTACCTTCCTTACCCTGCCCTGCCGTCCTGTCCTACCTTTCTTACCCTGCCCTGCCCTCCTGTCCTACCTTCCTTACCCTGCCCTGCCCTCCTGTCCTAACTTCCTTACCCTGCCCTGCCCTCCTGTCCTACCTTCCTTACCCTGCCCTGCCCTCCTGTCCTACCTTTCTTACCCTGCCCTGCCCTCCTGTCCTACCTTCCTTACCCTGCCCTGCCCTCCTGTCCTACCTTCCTTACCCTGCCCTGCCCTCCTGTCCTACCTTTCTTAACCCTGCCCTGCCCTCCTGTCCTACCTTCCTTACCCTGCCCTCCTGTCCTAACCTTCCTTACCCTGCCCTGCCCTCCTGTCCTACCTTCCTTACCCTGCCCTCCTGTCCTACCTTCCTTACCCTGCCCTGCCCTCCTGTCCTACCTTCCTTACCCTGCCCTGCCCTCCTGTCCTACCTTCCTTACCCTGCCCTGCCCTCCTGTCCTAACTTCCTTACCCTGCCCTGCCCTCCTGTCCTACCTTCCTTACCCTGCCTGCCCTCCTGTCCTACCTTCCTTACCCTGCCCTCCAGTCCTACCCTCCACCTGCCTTGTCCTCCACCTGACAGTATTTGCACTCTTTTCGAAAGGCACTTCCCTGATTTTTGTAAATTTATGCATATT